CCTTAACTATTACAATACCTACGTGCACAATAATAATATTAAAAAAGTTAACGATCAAAGTTTTATGAATTTAAAAATTTAAAATTTATTTTATCTATTTTAATAATTCAGGATTCAGGATGATTTTTAAATAAAGTTCAGAGTATTATTTAGTATTTACTCATTAACTCTAAATTAAAAGAAGGTATATACATCAGTTTTTTTTTTTGGCTACAATATCCTATAATATTTTCTTATTTCAATCGCTTTTTGTATCAGGATCTTTCTTCCATAATTTTTTTTTAAAAAAAGGATATCTATCAAGTGCGATTGTGTATTGGAAAGTCAATTATAGCTGCAAATTGTGCGTCTCGGCTGACACTGAAATTGAATGCGCATTTACCGGGCAAAAGATAATTCTAGCTTCAACGCTGCATCATTTCGTATTCTTCAGCCCTACACAAATGCGCAAATGACTTCTTTAGTAGTAGCAAATTCCTTTTATAATTTGATTTCATTGTTGATACCCTTCAATTTATATAATTAATCTCATCTGATAAGACTGCTTGTTATTGATGTTGTTCATTTTATAATTTTATTGAGTTAAATGATAAAAATATCTTAAAATTTTTTTTTTAAGAAGCGTTAGCATTTAAACTTTTGAAATATTTTTGCCATTGTTAAATGTAAGAAATGTTAACTGTTAACTAAAATTTTATTAGAGTATTTTATGATTTTATCCTCCTTCATTTCTACATTTTTTTGTCTTTGTTTTCATTTTTAGAAGAAAATAAGTTAAAAAAATCAATAGAGAACAAAAATTGAAGACTAAACACAGAAAGAATGAGAAAAAAATGCAAAAAATTTTTCAGTTAAATTTCAGTTTAACAGTTAATATTTTTAATTTTTAATGGTAGGATGAAAATATTTTTTTTTATGAAACTTTTAGATAAAAAATGCTTCAAAATTTTTTTTAAAATGCCAGGTGTCCAAAGTTTCAACACATTTTTTTCCTTTAACATTAATTTTATTTAGCTCAGCCACCTAAAAAAAGATTCAAAAAGTGAAATAAATAAATAATAATAATAATAATAATCATCATCATCATCTTCTCCCTCCGGTCTATTGGCATGTTGTCACGGGAACCGGATCCTCCCGGCAGCCAAATTCTCAACATTCCTAGGTAGCCAAATGTGGTCCATTCAAATAGTCAAAATATAATCAATTCACACATCACATGACTATTAAAAATACATGAAAATAATTTATTTTAAATGGTAAAAAAAATATTTTGATATATCATGTATGTGTAGAAATAAGTTAAATTTAAACCAAATTTTGAATAGACAGGTTAAGCTTATTTATATAGTTAGGTTTCTTCAGGTAAGACTAGGCTTATTTATAACCCTTCGATCATATATAGCATTTCCCCTAGCAATTTATAAGCCAAAGAAGAAGAAGAATAAATCAAGAATGAATGACCAGAGGGTCTAAAGCTTTTGTCCAGTTTTCTGCGTTAGAGGATTTCTCTGTGGCCAATTTATAACCCATTGATCATATATAGCATTTCTCATAGCAATTTAAATAATTACGGGAAAATAGCATGAAAATCTCTCAAAAATATACGAATAATCTTATAAAATATCCTAATTCTTCTCAAGTTTTTAAGGACATTTATGATATTAATGATTTTTTATAAAATAACTAAAATACCTCCAATTTAAAATAAAACATAGGGTAAAGCAGTAAATTTAGCTACAAATTATTTTTGAGGGGTATCTGATAGCCTAAACTATCAAATGGTGCAAAGTAAATAACGAACTTTCAAAATGGAGCATCAGTAGCCCGCTATTAACTTTAATTAACAGACGTTATGTAGGACCACAATGAAATGTGTCATGACACGGGCACGATACGTCAGCATAGTAAATGTGTAAATTTGGTCACAAACTATTTTTTGAGGAGCACTAGGTAGCCTATACTAAAAAAGAAATAGACCGTCCAACACATTTCCTTTAATTTTGACTAAATACCATTTATTTTCATACTTATTAAGCACATAAAGTATTAATCTTTCCAATCCTCTTGCCTTAGTTCTCAATATAAGTTCTAAAAGAAGAGGTTCTATGAGTTCTTATTTGAAAACATTCATAAGGAATGCCAATGAAGTATAAGCATGATTTTACTACATATAAGAGAATCTTGATTCTAGCTTAATTTAATAATGAATTATTTTTTCTTCTTTGTTACCTTCGTCTTCATGAGTGTCTTTAGATAAGAATTCTTTGAACCTTTTCTTCTCAGACTCAGATTGAGAACAAAGGCAAGAAGATTAGAGATATTAATGCTTTACGGGCCTCGTAAGTATGAAAATAAACGGTGTTTAATCAAAATTGAGTGGAAAGTGTTGGATGGTCCCTTTTTTTTTATTATACAGGCTACTCAATACTCCTCAGAAAATAGTTTGTGGCTAAATTTGTATATTTACTATGCTGGCGTGTCGTGCTTGTGTCGTGCCATGTGTTATTATGGGCCCCATATAACATCCATTAGTTGAAGTTAACGGTAGGCTACTAGATACTTTATTTTTAAAATTCATGATTTATTTTGTACTATCTGATAGTTTATGCTATCAGATGCTCTTTAAAAAATAGTTTGTAGCTAAATTTGCTACTTTACCCTAAAAAATAAGCTACATTACACTCAATTCCCTTAAACTTTGAACCATATATATATAACCCCTTTAACCTTTAAAACTTAATAATAAACCTCTTTGAATTTTTAAATTTATGTAAATAACTCCTAGCCATTAATTATACAACTCTCAGACTTTATTTTTAAAGTTGATAATTTAGGTCAAGCTCAACGAGCCAACTCAAACCCGCCCAAAAAAAGTCAGCGCTAAGCTTGGCTATACGGGTTAAAAGGGTGGGATACTTTAAACTCGATCTGAATAAACCAAGCCTGCATTGACTCTGACTCGAATAAGCTTGACATCTAAAATTTTCAGCTCTATATGTATATATAGAGTTAGTAATTTTGGCCAAATCCGAACCCAATTAAAAAAGTTAGAGTCAGGCTTGGCTATATGAGCTTTTTTGAGTGGCTAAGATACTTCAAGCTTAATTCAAATAAGCACGGCCCAAACTGAGCTCAACCTGAATAAGTTTGGCCTGCCCGAGTTACTGACTCTATTATTTTTGTGTGTATTTAAACCCTCAAATTTTAAGTGATATACATATAACCTCTTAAACTTTAAGTTATGTGTAGATAATTGATATATAAAATTAATCATATAGAGTTATATGCATGAATATTAGAGTTGATGGAATTATAAAGTTTTAAAGGTGAAAGAAGTTATGTGTACATGGTTCAAAATTTAAGGAAGTAATATATAATTTAGCCTGTAAAATATTAGTGACTGCTTTTTTTTTTACTAATAAATGATAATTTTATATATTTTTATCCTTTTAATTTAAATTTTTAAATATTTATTTAAGGCTAATTGAGTTTAATTAGATATTATTTAATTTTATTAGCCAATCTTCAATTTTTAAATTTTAACTATCTAAATCTTGATTTTAAAATATAAATGATATTTTTGATATTTTTACATATTTGCTATTTAATTTTTTTATTTGTACAAATGTTTTAAATTCATTTGAAAAATATTGATAGACATTATTTTGGATAAAAAAAATATGAGCATGCTTGAAGATCAAATCAAGAATCAAATTTTTTAAATTTTGTTTATATTCATCTTGGGTAATTTAATGTAGTTTTTAATTAAAGTTATTTAGAGTATTTTTATTATTTTATTAAATTTTTAAGTTTCATTTAAGAAGAGACTTTGATGAGCACTAGGCTAAAAGGGGAGCTCATTTCAAAAGACTAACTTATTGGGTGAAAGAGTCCCTTACACTTAAAAACCCTACACTAAATGAAAGGGCCCATGATGTGAGACTCATGATAATGCCACTTCGTCAAGAGTTGATGTCTTCAATGACTCTATTATATGGCACTTCACTTAGCCTCTTATTTATTAGAACCCTTTGTGAGTAGTCCTTTTCATGACATCGACCTCTTCATGAAAGTATTAATGTAACAAACACAAGTATAAAAGGAGAGTTCATCCCAAAAGATTAACTTCTTAGAATGAAGAGCTCCTTACACTTGTAAACCTAATACTATTTATAAAGCTCTCCAATATAAAACTCGTGATAGAGACGAGGCATGTGACACACAAAAATGGTCACATTGAATTGAATATATATGAAGGAAGGAATAGAGGAGTAAGATGGGGACGAGAGGAAAACGAAGTTAAGATGCAGTGCTCTTTGTCTTTCTTTTCTTCAAGCGGTGGCTTCTAATTTATTGTACAGTTTGATTTTTAGTTTTATAAAAAATTAATTTTTTTAGCATGATCAATCACAAATTAGTCTTAAACTTTAATTAGAGTTTTAATATTTAATTATTGAATTTTAATTTAGTTTTTAAATTAATTTAATCACAAATAAATTTCCCTCATTATTTAGCTTTTCACAATTATAATTCAAATAGTTAATTCATTGATTTTTAAAGAGATGACTTTACTTTATTGTAAAATTTAATTTTTATTTATTTTAGTGTTATTCAACAGCAATGTCACTAGCAATAACTAAAATGAAACAAGTAATTATAATTTTTCTTGTGCAAATTTTTGAGTCACTGTAGTCGAAGTGTTATAGATGCCTGTGATTACTTTAATTTAAGTAATAATTATTTTTTTTAGTAATAACTAAAATAAAACAAACAATTATAACTTTTTTGTATAATTTTTTATTACTAAAGTAGTAATTTGCATTGAAAAAGTTGTAATTATTTATTTTATTCTAGTTATTGTTAAAAGAAAAGCAATCATTACTTAAATTAAAATAATCACTGATATTTACTTTTTTTATTTAAACTAGAGCATTTTACTTATTTTACTAAAAATCATTTATGTTAAAAAGTTCCTTAAAAATTTAAGAAAAATTATGAAATTTTGCAAGATCTAATAATTATTTGCATATTTAAAAAAAAAATTTTAAACCATTTTTCCAGTATCAAGCATTCTAAATGCATTGTTGAGCCACAAATCTCTTAAACTAATTAATATCCGCTTGTACTACTTCCACCCAACTCATCTTTCACGACTACTAGGACTAATTACCGAGGCTAGTTCAGTTCAATCTGTTAAATCCTGTAATTCATAGGAAAAATGACTAATGACTACAATAATAATAATAATAATGAGGGAGGCCTTAATTAAAACAATATACACTTGTTATTTATTACTCATCAACAGTAAAGTCTGGTTCTTCAGGCTTCTGCAGAGAGCTTACAACCCCAGAAGCTGCCTCAGAACACATATTAACCCCTTTTCCGGTGCTCCTACCCTTACTCGATCCATATGCGACTAAGCCTGACGAGCCAGAATTTGGTGTTTCAGGCTCAGCATCATCAGTTTGGTTCATTTTAGCCCTCAGTCCAGCAAGTTCCTTCCTCTTCTTATACCTCCTCCATGCAGCTTGGACGAAACATGCAGCCCATGTTCGCCACTGGTGCGAGTAAAACTTGAACTTGTGCCTCAGCTGTTTACTGTGCAGCCTTCTGAACTGAGACGCTACAAACTTGAGGTCCTCTGACATAAGCGCAAAAGCTTCTACTTCGGAGATGGCCTTCACTGTTCTAGTGGAAGATGGAAGTATGACACTCGGTCGAGGGTCCAATGCCCATGTCAGTATTTCCTCGCCGCAGAAATCGCCCGGACCAATCCGGCATGAATTGAAGAACCCGGTTCGGCCGCCGTTGGTGGTGTAGGAATCCAGATGGCCTCTTATTATGAAGAGCATTTCATCCACTGGATCGCCCTCGCGAACAAGATAGGTGCCCTCGGTGCACAATGCAGGTTTCAGCCTTTCACATATTGCATCTAGCATCCTCTCATCCATTTGGTCAAATAATGGGACCTGTCAATGAAATATCAGTATAATTTACAGCTCTAGTATACCAGCATTTTCATTTACAATAATCTTATACATCTAGACATGTTGACTATCATACTGTAGAATATTAAGGAATAAGATATCACACATGATATTCCTGAACAAGATAGACTAAATATATATTAGATTATAGTGGGCAATTCCGATACTGGTGTGGTGTGTAACAAATCCTAGCATCTTAAATATCTCCGCATCAATGATATTAAGAGAAAATGACATAGCATCAAATCCCTTCTAGAGCAAGATAGGCTTCATATGGATTGAGAACTACATCTTATGAACAAGTGGAACTTGAGGTTTAACATGGGCTTACTCCTCGGACAAGGTCGAGGCAAAGGTGGCGCTTGATGTCTCTTCGAAGATCCACTGGAAGTCCTTTGAGAAGAGCCTCTTCATCAACTCCTCGGGTGGCCAACCATTTATATTGATCATACTTCCTTACGGCTAGTCTTAGTTCCGAAGGTAGCTGTCTGTGATGCATCCATTGTTCTGTATCAGTTCTTTTGACCCTCCACTCTTCTAAGCGGACGGTTGTTGATTGAAGGTATGTCTGAAAATGTTGAGTTCTTTGTCAATCAGCATTCTTATATATCACATGGCAACGTGGTTATGTGTCAATAGAAACAAATAAAATGCACTTACCTGCATATTACCAATAAGCAAGGCAAAAAGAACCAATCCAAGGGTTGCAACTACAATGGCAAACATTATTTCTCCAACAAAAGTGCTAGTGAGAAGATCCTGTCCTAAAGAACTGCACTCATCAATGAGCAGAGAATTAATACTCTAATCAGCGTGATAAGATGCTTCTGAACAGAATATTTGCCCTACTTGCAAGTGGAAAGGACAAAAAGAAAAATCCTTACCTCCCACACCCCCCCCCCCAAAAAAAAAAAGAAAAAAAGAAAGGTTTGAAGCTTCTTGGCAAGAAGACATGGCTATATTTTCCATAACAAGATATTAAAAAACTAGAGAATAGAGATGTTGTATTTTGGAAAACTATTAACAATTAGATGTTATATTTCTGGCGTTGTTCTTATCACAACAGCTAAACCAAGGATCTAAAGTGTGAGGTGAGCTATATTAAGCTTGCCCTTCCGTTGGAAAACTTCACGATGATGTTTGCATTTACTTTGTGTAAAGTCCAAGAATGATGATCCTCATTTTGGACGCGTAAAAATGAAACTCAAGAAAGTCATGAAGAAAGTAAGGTGATAAAACTTAAAAGCTTACCTCAGATTTCTTAAGCCCCACCAAAGACAGTAGAAATACTTGTTAAAGAATGGTGAGCTTGTGACTTCAGAAGTCACCGCATCACCATATATGCCAAATGGATAAAAGTTGACATCAGGTGAGCATAAATTTGTGACATTGCTTGCAATAAACCAGGCGACCCTACTGGCTTCGTTGACCCTGTGGCAGTCAAAATATCCATATTGACAATATGACTTCTCCTGATCACAAACACTTCTCCAGCATGCTTCCTGTCGCTCAATTGATAGAAGATACCACATAGCACCTAAACCCTTTTCAAGATTAGCCCCAACAAAATCGAGAACTATGAGTAAGTTGAGTTAAAAAAGCTTCCTTTCAATATATGAATCAAATGGTTTACATGATTGAGTTTATAACATTCTTCTCAAAATCGAGAAGCCATTTTGATTTTCAAGGTCCGCCATTTAGCAAATGAAGAGAGAACATAAAAAGTTAGCAAAAACATTGCATCCTCTCCTTGGATAACTTTTGGAAGACCATTTCTGGATTTCATCCATATTAAGGCCTTTGTTAAAAGTTGTAAGGCAGAGTGCAGGCATTTATTGGTAAATGATGGGACCAACTGTTGACTGTGGCAGGATTTTTGCAAGTTGAATCTTAGGGAAAAAATATCAATCTTAGGGGAAAAAAATAAAAATTCAATTTAATTCAGCTGGGTATATATTTGTTTGAAAATCAACCTCCTGAAAAACTCAGCTGAAATTATAAGCAACTCTGTTTCAAAATGCACCTTTCTGTTCAAAATTTGATCCACATTCGACCCTTTCCTCTAATCTGTGTGAACAAGACAGATTGCACTTTTCTTTTTTTATCAAACAAGAATTCCTTTTTGAGCAGAAGTTTCCGAATATACTTACATGGCTTGCCAACATGTAAAGCATCAGGTTGTAAGCAGCACCAGCCCATGCTGTTTCCGTTACAACTCCAGTAGCCTTTATAATTTGTGATGAAAGTGGGAAAATGAGAAACAGCCTAGGGAGATACTGAAAGATGATGATGAATCGAAGAACATTTTTTGTATTTGCCATGGTAGAACCCCTGAGGAAGGGGATGACAAGCCAAATTAACACCTGGAATAAACAGAATGAAACAGAAATTTACCAGATTTAAGCACCATCGTCCCACTTAACAAGAACGAAAACGATAGAAACTTACCTGTGGAAGAGGCAGAGCAGCAACAAAGTCTAACCAGAAACTCTTCCTGAAGTACCTAAATGCAATCTTAGAAGAATCGATAACAAGTTCTCCTCTCCCAAATACTCGAGAGGAAGGCGCAACATAAGCTGTACGAAACTTCATGAAAATCTGAAACATGTAAAAGAAATCTGCAACTGTTCTAATGACTGTGAGGATAACTTCAGGTGTTATTCCAATCTCAATGCACACTTCATCTTGAACTACTGGCAAGTAAAAGAAGAGGGGGTCCACAAACAAAGATATTAAACATGCCACCAAGAAAATCTTGTTCCATCGGTGAATGGTTTGTCCTCGAGGATCTAGTATTTTTCTTTTCACTCTTTCGTAATCCTCTGAGAATACCCTTGACAATACTCTGCCTCTCAAGAACTTCCCAGTCTTCCCTGTTTCATTCTTCTGAGCCATTTTGGTGCTGCTAGGCTCGGGTATTTGTACTCCATCAATGTTGTATTTTACTTTGATCCCGTTGTCACTGTTAGTCACGGGGATTTTTGCTTGTTCAAGATCATCTTGAAATCTAAAATGACACCCAAATTAGAGGCTTGTGAATTATGGGAAAACAAATTACTGGCAGCATGAACATGACTGTTCAAGACTAGCACAGAATTTCATTGATCTACAATGGTGCTAAATAACTTGGGAGATATAAAGAAGGAGACACACCTTACGGATCTTGTATTTCCAAAGCCCATATTTTTCTTTCAGAAGTGTCAACTTCTCTTAAATCAATGAAATAAATCTGGAGAACAAGTAACACACGGATTTATATATATCAGGTGTTGAATCAACCTTCAAGCAATCTCAACTCTTGACATAAGTGAAATTGACCAAGCAGAAATTTCAGGCCACAACAAAAGGAACGACCTATGCGTGACTGCTTAGACTAGGATTCTTGTGAATACATGTATAAAAGATAGATCAACTTGGAGATGAAGCTATCAAGATTCTCCGCCATCTCAAGTCCAATTATCAAGACCCGTCTCTTTCAAACACTAGGCTAAGTTGAATAAAGAGTCGCCCACATGCACCCTTGGGATCAAAATATTCAATATGCATAATGCAGTGAATGCAATCAAAGTAAGAAAACGAAGTTTAAAATTTTGATTCTTTTCGTGCAAACGAAGATCAGAAGATGACCAACGAAAGCTGCAGCATACACCTTCTAGAGTAAGAAAGTTAGAGTCACCAAAAAGCATAAAAAGAAGATCCCAAGTTCCAAACAAAGCGAAACAAGCAATAAATCACTAAATCAGCACTGCTGATCAAAAGCCAATGATGCTGATAATGAAGTTAGCATATCAATGGAAGATAAGTGAGTTTATGTACCTTCTTTCACTATCTTTGGACGTAAGATCTATAGTTAGTACAAGTTAGTGTAGTTACTTACAGGTATTCCAACAAACAGGGAAGCTGCATGAGCTGAAGCGAGACAGACTCCCAGGCATTCCTCTGCAAATATACAACTGCTTCCATTTGCACCTCAAGTCTTTACCATTAGCATGTATGACAAGACCAGTTCAACCTCAGGTGATAATAGGAATCTAAACACACAGAAACTGAGTCATTTTGGGGAGAAAAGAGAGGGAGTTCAAGAGAGGAATACGAGAAGTCGGAGTTCCCGGGGTGTCTTGTCAATCTCCCTTTAAAAATGGGAGATTGAGAGGGGGAGGGGGGAGGAGAGAAGCCAAAGCAGGTATGACTTTGAAGGATGACAAGCGAGAAAGAAATAATCAACATATATGAGGCAGAGCCAGAGAAGCAGGGCCATGATGGTGTGACCAACCGAAGAGCTTAGCCTTGGAGTTTGGAGAGAGAGAGATATATGAATATGATGGCTGGTCCGAACAAAACGCAAAAGAGGGGCTTCTTGCGATTAATTTAACGTGTGAATGATCCGAGGAAGCGTTGACTACGATAGATACGCTGCCATGGAATCTTGACACGTGTGACTTGCACTCGTTTCTCTGCCCTTGAAGCAGAAGCTAAAGCTAGCACCGGGGGTCACTTTTGACGTTTAAAAAAAAACAAATAAACGCGCGGATTGATTGACTTATTAAACTTTTATAAAAATTTTTAAATTTATATTTTTGATACTTCACTTCTTAATTGTATAAATTTCTTAACATTGATACGACACATCATATCATACAGTACGGTTTACCTGTCCTTTTATTAAAAAAAAAAAAAGCTAGCACTGGCGAACCGCGATTCAATTCAAGTACAAATCCACACTTTCACATTTCTCCAAGTGGCAGTCCCCATGTTTTCTTTACTTTTTACTTTTACTAATAAAATAATAATAATAATACCTAAATTTAAAATTTTAACATTGAAAATGCTATGTTTTTATATACAATTAATAATAAGATTTTTAGGCAAAATGTTGTGCTCATGGTAAATTTTATAATTATATCCCCGTCGGTGCACAACTGGACCGTCAGCTTATCTGAATCTGTATTTTACCTTTTCACTTTTTCCCCCACAGCCTTTCCAATTTTCTTTATTTTCTCTGCTTAGATATGTAGTTGTAGCATCTGGCTCCAACAATACATTTAAGTTTTTACGGCTCATCTTAAAGTGATTCTTAATAAAGCTACAGATACGTAAAATTACAATGTGATCAGATGTATGATTATAAATTCAAGCAGAAATCAGGCTGAACAGGTAACATTATCTATGACCTATCACCGAGGATTCCTTTCTTATATAAAATATAGTACAGATCATATCATTTACTGTTAGGCCTCCCCCCCCCCCAAAACCCAGAACACGATTTTCTTTTTCAAGAATAAATTAAAAATGTCTAAAAATCGGGTTTCGTAAATTCTAGTCCATCCAGCTCAGTGGACCGACAGATCACAGAAATTGATTTTTTTTAAAAAAAATTAATAATTATTGCAATGTTTCTTGAGAAGCAATGAAAGATAAGACGATAGACTTGGCTCAATAATAACTGGATTTGGTGTTTGAGGGGACACCTTCCATTAATCTTCAAGCCATCTTATATGCCCTACCCTCTTCAACCTATTGATGCCCCACTAATATTTTTTAATTCAAAAATTTAAACAAGTTGGGTTCCCAAAATTTTAGAGTCAGAAAATGTTTTTAAACTCAAAATACGCTTGTAAAGATACTTACAACACTCATCAATGAAGTACTTATATTGATAGGAAAATTTTAACATACAATATTTTAAATCATGGCCAAATCTTTTCCAGCAAGGCTAACCTTTGTTAGCCCCCACTAATAATTCTTCAAACTTGGAAGCCCCTTGATTGCAAATAATCATAAGTTAATCCCCACACACACCGACATACATACATACATACAATATATACATTCCTGTTTTGTTCTGTTGTGTTTTTTTTTTTCCAAGAAAGAAGAAGAGACCCGGTGAATATTATGAGTTATAACCAGATGAAGCGTATGGATGATACTCCTCTCTCACAAAATAATTGTTTCATGATAGAAGTTGAGGTAAATGATTAATTATATCAGCAAAATATATATAACAACTTAAGTTATTTGTAATTCAATATAAAAATTATGTTTTGATTAATTATCTATAAAATTTGTGGTCTAAGTATTTTGTAATTATAAAGAATTTAAATTTATTAATAAAAAGAAAAGAACGGGAGAGATGTCTGTGACATGGGAGAGGGGTACACATCATGGTCCATTTGAAAGGGACAGAAACAAGCAAGTCCATCCTTCACAACCACACTGAATTATTGGGATCACAAGAGACGGTGTGGCGTTTCCTACGTCTAAATGTCCCTAATTTCATATTTTATTGTGTTGGTTACAACTCTTCTTTTTTCTTTTTTCTTTTTTCTTTTTTTACTTCAGATCTATTTAACGATTTAAAAGTTGCTTGGGTAATTTTATTTTTCTTCCACTTCAAAAAATCCATTTTAAATGTTCATTTGACAAAAATTAATCTATGATTTTTTTAAGAAAAGTTACTTTTGACTTTTCAACAAATTTTTAGTTACTTTCCAATAATAAAAGTTTATTTAAATTACTTTTCAAACAATTTTCACGGTATTAAGCCTGCTTGATTAATACATTCTGTAAACGGAGATCATCTGCTAGCCCTAGAAAAAGGGATAATAATAAATCTTTGTTCTAGAATTACCGTTTCCATCGGTGATTCATGCAGGACTGATTGTTCCCAAAATGGAAACGAACTGGCGCGTTTTTTTTTCCTTTTCTTCCAAAGATTTCGGTCCATTGTCGTAATATGAAATGAACGAACTAGGGGGCATACAAGTACATTAACATGACGTTTGGTCTCAACACGAATGTAAATAAGCTAATAACAATCTATATATCTATTATAAACACCACATTTTCATAAACAATCCAGTCTATTTTTGAGACTCGATGTAATGGATCCACATATATTAATAAACTAATATTTAATTAATAAGTAGAATAAAAGAAGTAAACAGGGGTGACAGCCCCTGTGGGAGCATTAATGAGAGAACCGTGATCGGTTGTACCATCCTGAAGATATGGATTTTGAGAAGCCAAGGGTACAGACTGGATCCATACTTGATAGACTCCTCATGCATATTAGGATCAGTTCTAAAACACGTGCGCGCGCGCCTCACTCTTCAATTATATGATCTTATTACAACTTTCCTTCTTCTCGTTGGACTAGTTTCCATTACTTTTCAGCTTGAAGATTTGTGTTGTGCTTTTTTATTAGCTATTTAGTCGCGTTTAATATTCTAATATTCTATCACTGCTCTTTTCATGATAGGATGTTCTCTTCCATTATGAGCCATTTAACAAGTTCAATATTTTTAATTTATATCTTGGGTGCTTTTCTTAAAGCCAATGATCTTGTTCTTTTCTTTAAAGCTTTCAACATCTAGAGAATTTTTCATCCAACAGCACCTAAGAATATCCTCTAATCAATATCAATTTCTATAGCTCAGGGGTTGCATTATCTCTCATGCTACCTTTGGTATAAAGTGGGAACAAGCATAGGAAATAGACTTTCCTGGAAACCTATTCTCTTATCTATGTCTAGGTGTATCACCAATTTCCAACATACCAAACACAAGTTTAATTTTCTCCCATCCCATTTTTAGACATGGCTTGTCATTAAACCAAGTGACAAGCCTAAGGCGAGCAAAATTAGTTGCTGAAATAACCAAATAATATATCATCAATAGAAGAATCCTTTGACAACCACTCCCCCCCATCCAATCCCTTCTCTCTGTCTCACAATGTTGGTGTGGAGGGGAAAAAAATAAAAGTAAAAATTGCATATCATGCGGCCTGTATAGTGACATTAGTAAGAATTCTCACCCTATTCTTGAGAACCTTGAGCAGCTTCTTTCAAACATGACCTCATGAGCCTTGCAAGCTTTGCACAAGCATCTAAGCATAGCTGCATTCCCTGCATCCAGAAGAAATCAAGTGTCACTGACTTGCATTGGTACATGTACATCATCTCTTCGCATCAAGTTTGCACCTGTTTAAAATGGCAAGGTAACCTTTACCAAATTTATCTAATGGGTTTGAAAGATTTAAATGATCTGATAATTGAAGTAACTCGCAAAAGCAAATACAACACACAACACAAAGCAGTTCGTTGCAATCAGTAAAAAGAAGAAAAAAGTGTCCAAAGTTTTTGACAGAAGAAATTCCATTAAGAAAAGAAAGAGCATGAGAAATATTCAATCCAAGAAAACGATCACAGTCTTGAAACAGAGTAACATATAAAATTCCCAAAGAAACCTAGTCGGAGAGAAAGCTGTCCAATCTCTTTGCATGTCAGAAATAGCGAATCCATTAAAAAGACATTGTGTGGAGCACTAAAGATAATTCCATCCCATAAGGAATTTGAAGGCAAGAAATGATCACGTTGAAGTTGTTTACAAATTTCAAGAACATATTATAACCGTACCTCGTTAATCTTTGGGGTGGACCAATCCCCGGTGACAGTGAGCTGGGTGATCTCATAACGAGAAGGCATGCAAGTTATCATTAAGCTTCCATCTTGACAGCTTTCCTCCTCCAAAATAGGATCAATAACAAGGTTCTTACCGAGACAAGACTGGGACAAAGAACAAATCAATGCGACTATTATAACAACTTAAACAAGTCTCTTGGAGCAGCAAAGTCAACTAGTGAGTAGAATTTGGCATCTCCCAAAGAAATATTGCATGTAATCCTACGTGCCATTGTGCATAGAATATGGTGACTCCAGAAAAGTAGAAAGTTGGGGTAAATACAAAAAAAAAAGAGAGAGAGGTTTTGTTAGGATGGAAAAGAAGAAATAATAAATAATTTAGCAAGTTTGAAGCTACCCCCAACT